ACTTGTACACTGGAGAGAATAACTAACTGCCTCCACAATGCAATTAAGAAACAAACAGCATTTCTAACAACACCAAACAGCATCAGAAAATCAGTTGCCACAACTGGAAATGTCTATCACATCAGCTTGTTAACACTGGAGGAACATGCCCAAAGCAAACTAACAAAGCAGTTTAAACAAGTTAATTCTAAAAGAAGAACAAGGAAGAAAAATGGCCCTCTGGAAGGGATGCAAGGTCAGGACAAAAAGAAGACATTCTTTTGGGCTATCCTGACTGTCAATAAAATAATAATAATCAGCAATAACCAGAGTCCCGTAGCTCAGTGGTTAGAACCTCGCCTTGCAAGTGAGAAACCTGGGTTCAATTACCGGCAGGGAGAAACCTTAGGCAGGTTTCCTTATTCCACATGCCTGATAATCCTTCAAGAAAAAAAATAATAAAATTGATCTAGAAGATGTGAAAAGCGCTGTATCAAAATGCAAGGATTATTATTATATTATAATCCTTGCAATTAATGTAGCATCTTATCAAATCGTCAAGACATCTCAAAGCACATCACAGGACATACTGCAAGATGGTCTGATTATTTTACGGACAAAATATAACAGAGAATATTCTTATTTGAAGTGTACTTTTCATAGTGATTTTTTCAATCGGCTCTGATCAACCAAATAAATTTGAAAAACTTTTATACATAGTAGTATACATTAGTATACATAGTAGATCCAAGTTGTGTGATTGCAAAATGTAGCCTGCCTGCTAAAAACCCCTTTGAGATAATAATAATAATCCTTGCATTTGATATAGCGCTTTTCACGTCTGGAGGACGTCCCAAAGCGCTTCACAGGACACACTGTGAAGTGAATTGACTGTATATTTGTGGGCGAACGCGACAGCCAATTGCGCACATCAATGTCCCACAAACAGTCGTAGATTGAAAATGACCAATTTATTATTGGTTTTGGTTTTGGAGGGATTATTATTAGGCGTGTGGAGTAAGGAAACTTGCTCAAGGTTTCGCCCTGCCTGGAATTGAACTCAGGTCTCTCGCTTGCAAAGCAAGTGCTCTAACCACTGAGCTACAGGAGATGGCTGATTCAGCAGGATACCAATTTGCACCTCTGCAATACAAATGAAGTTTATGCAAGTCGATTTCTCCACTTCCCAAACATGATCCCTTAAAGGTTCTTGAGACAATCCAGTGTCTATTTAATATTTTAAAAACTAATACCCATTTACAGAGGTATGCATAGCTAAATAAAGAGTTTAATCCTGACCCAACTGTCCAGCGCCTTGGGACGTCCTCCCGACGTGAAAGGCACTCTATAAATGCAATCTTGTTGTTGTTGTTTTATGCAGAGGTCTCCTCGGCCACAAATGAACAATTGGGAGAAGAAATCCCAACATTCTGCTCCAAATTATTCTGGTGCTTGAAACTGCATTGCCTAGTTTCTAACAACTTCAACCAAGCATAACCAGATGTACCACTACTCGAGTCCATAGCATGAGTCCTGGGGAGCAGGCATGAGCCTTACTGCTCAAATATTTTAGACACCCAGACATGAATAAGATTCTGGAAGCTCTCCAATTAAAGTCCATATTTCTAGTTAAAGAAAGTTGGAAGGTTAAATGCACACACATATTTCAGAGACTGAACATGTGCAACATACATCACTCTCAATGAAACTAGTCCTATTGGACATCAAGATGTAGCTCACAAACTCTAGGTGGAACAGGAGCTGGATCTAATTACACCAAATCTGCTATGGATATTGACCTCAATGGACATTGTGGAGAGCAAGAATAGAAAGTAGTGGAGCTGGCTGAATCTTCCATGAATAAGTGAACTGGTAATTCAATAGGATTTCCTTTGTTCTTGTCAGATTTATTGCACAATTTAACAGATGTCTCTTTGCTTATCCAAACATCTTATGGACATAATGTTGGGACTGCTGTACGTTTTCGTACTGAAAGCCAAACGCAAAAGCTTATGCAGACTTCAATGTGGCTTCTTATTTTGCATTATTTATTTTAAAGTTGGATGAAAACTTTCAAAATCCTACCATCGTAAAAAATTAGGCACATCCATCAATAAAGAGTTTAATCAAGTCTGGTCTGGATTGATTTTGCTTCCAAATCAGTAGCTAAATCATCTAACTCTAATGTATTTTTAACATGACCTCATCAATTTGGATGTATATATTGTTGATATTTTAATTGAAATGATAAAATGGAGGCTAACCCTGACTGATGCTACAGCAATATGAAGAGATGATGTGCATAGATTCAGGTCTATTGACCAAGACTGAGAGCGCCTATACTAAATTAATATCTGGAAACCTTCTTTGCTTTCCATCAGTTACCACTTATTTCCAAATTTAAGAAGTAAATGTGGAACTTAATAAAAACGCTTGTACTTTATATGTAAATACGACAGCTTGTTTACCCATAGAAACTCCCTTCTCTTTTCGAATTGTGCCCTAGGATCTTTAATGTCCACCTGAACAGGCAGACAAGCCTCCAGTTTAATGTCTCACCTGGAAGACAGCATCACCGCAGCAGCCCCCAGCATGGCACTGGAGCACCAGCATAGACAAAATGGATTCCAAGTCCTGACGTGCTGGTTGAACAGACATTTTTCTGACTCAGAAGCAAGAGTGCTACCAACTGAGCCAGGCTGACACCCCTAAATGGAAAGTTAAGGAAGCCAGAGCAACCCTCACTTCAGGTAAAGATTTCAGATGTTGAACATTATGTGCACAGAGAAAATTAGATTTCATTGGCAGAAATTCAGCTACTTCAAATGTGAAACATCGTTTGGACCATGGTTATATTCATTGTAGATGTTGTTTTATGATGCTATTACTTTGAACCTATGGTTATTATCTCCATTAGTTAAGTGTCTGGGTAATCCTTTCAATTGGTCTCTTTTTACTTGTTCAGGGCTCCGGGACTCTACCCCGCATGAAGGGCACTATATAAATGCAAGTTGTTGTTGTTCACTCTGAAGCCACTGAAGTTTGGATCAGCGAACTCTTTACAACAGAGTAACTTTACGCTTTACAAAAGTATGCAAATGATATTATGCATACTAAGCAAAACAATCAGCTTTTACTTCAAGTCAACATTTCAGCACTTTACTCAGTAAAGAGTTTAGAGCCTTTAGAGAAAAAACATCACATTCCGAGGCTTCAGTAGCTGCCTAATCGAGATGAACTGCAAAACTTTTGGGATATTTAGTATCAGCTTCAACCAGTTTTAAAATAATTGATTTAACGCCTCTATTTAGTATTGAAAATAAATACTTTTCACAGTCAATTTTAATTAGAAATACACTTTTCACAGTCAATTTTATTCAGTCAGCCCAGGCAATGTCCACTTCTACAAGTGTGCTTCACAAAGCCTTGGGGAAAAGAAATTGGGAGAGCTGTCATTGGGTTAATTTACCAACGTGTTCCAGGAAAACTATACTATAGGGTATATGCTTTAAGGATATGCAATACATTTATCATACAATGCTCTAAAACCCTCGGACTGTTAGCAGGTCTCTGTGGACCAACTTTGGTTATGCATTTTCAGTTCACGCACAATGATGCTTAAATATATTGCAGCAATAAAGCTTCTCAAACATTAGGAGAGTTTTATTACTGTAATATTAACCCTAAGCCACTAAAACAACGTAAAAATATTTCCATAACTTGTCCTGCTTCATTCATCTTCCTTTTTCCCCCCAGTCCTATTTTTACTTCAGTTTTTTATTATTAATTTCTACTTTTAAAATATTCTTTCACCCAGCATCTACTGTCCTTGAGATTTTCAATGTATCAAACCTGGCCTGACAAGCAGATTGTACCCTAAAAATGTAACTATGTCAGTGGCACATTAAGATTAAATTCACACTTGCTTCCTCCAGCATTGTATTGTTCAACATTTTCTATCCAGACACAAGCTTGAAAGGTCAAAATCTATAATTGCACGATCAGGTGTTTTTCACAATCCAAACAGACATAATGTGAAGATGTCACATGCCCACTGTGATGTTTTCTGAAATTCTATTAGAGAGGAGAAATGGAGCCACACAAAAATGCTAAATGTCTACTGTTAAATTCCACTGGTTGGTGGGTCAGTAACCCAAGGATACCAATTTAAAATAGTTGTTAAAAGAAACAGAGGAGAGGTGAGGAGAATTTTTTTTACATAGCACGTTGTTCGGATCTGGAATGCATTGCCTGAAAGGATGGTGGAAGCTGATTTTAAGAGAGAAGTTGATAATTATTCAGGGAGGACACATTTACAGGGCTATGGGGAGAGTGTGGGGGAATGGGATTGATTTGGAGAGCTCTTTTCAAAGAGTCAACACAGATCCAATGGGCCGAATGGCCTCCTTCTGTGCTGTATAATACTATGATTCCATGAAATAAAACCAGAATGGGAGCACTGCTCCTGTCTGTGAAATTGGGACAACTGGTTCACTAAAGTCTTGCAAACCCCAAAAGGTAGTCTTTATCCTATCAATTCAAGTCAAATTTATGACGACTCTTCCCTTTTCAGCCCAGACACACATTGAAGAACATCGTTGGTGGAACGGTTGATGTATATGGCCTAGCCAGAACTTCCAGGCCACCCATTTGTGTGACTGTCAGCTCTGTTTGCATTGGAGGTAGGACATGTTTTTGGACTTCTGTGCACTTTTATTTCAACTGCAGAGGTACTCTTTGAATGAGAACGGTGGGCATTCCATAAAGAACACGCATTCAGAAAATCAAGTTATGAACTTGGATTTTTTATCATGTCAAAAGTTGGTATGAAGTTGTGTAAAGAGGTTGTAGAGTGATATGGCACAGAAATAGGCCATTCGGCACAACTAGTCAGTGGGCATTAAGTTCCATCACCTGGAAGAATATGATCTGAAATGTGATCCGTGACAATGAAAACAATCAGGCAGGAAAAGTACACATCAAACCGTGTCTGACTGTAAAGGAATGGGGAAGGGTATTACCTGATACTCATTCGGCCAGAAGGTGCTAACTGCCAGTTCAGCCCGAAGCCAATCATTCCCTTGAGTGCCGGTCACATTCCAAATAGGATTTGCAAGGGCTCCCTTGTTCACTCGGACAAAAATATTTAGCGTTCCTGGGCTCAAGTAATCTCTGCTGTATAGCAAATAGTTGAAATCTATGCAGTGAGTATCATTTTCTTTCATCACTGGAAGCAGGAGTCGAGCTCTTTCTCCTGGCATCTGCTTAGAAGAATCGACCATCAAGTAGGATCCTGAAGAGAAAAGAAATACATTTCTGCATTACAAAATATTCAGCATAGAAGAGAGACATTCAGCCCATCATGTTTCAGCCAGTGTTACATCAAGCTTAAAAGTTGCTTCTTTATTATTCCATTTTCTTGCTCTATCTCCATCTCTCTTAATGCTTTAACTTCTGAGATGCTTATCTAGTCTCATTTTGAAGGATTGTATTGATTCAGCTTCAACCACCATATGTGGTAATAAATTCCACATCCTTTTAACTCTGAAGGATAAAAAACCCTTCTAATGTATCCCAATTCGTCTGCAAACAATCCTGGAATTATGCCCTCTTGTCACTGATTTTCCAAATAAGGACAAGTCCCCCCACCAACCCCCCCATTTACCTAATTATGTCCCTTCGGAATGCAAATACTCTTATCCCTTCTCAAATTTCTGCTACAATGGGAAAGCCCCAGAAACCAACCTATCTTTATACATATTGTCTCAGTTTCTGCTTCATTCTATTGAATAAATTCTCTAAAGTTTACTTAAGGGAAATCAGTCACGACAGATCTATGCAATCAATGGAGGTACATCAAGAACTTGATGAAGATTCCCGTACACTGACTGTGACATTATGTTTACACAATATATTCAGTTTTTCCACTTTAGAGACTTCTAAGGAGGAAATCTAATAGCTGAAATAAGCAGCACTTCAGTGGTTTAACAAAAATCATTCATAATCCTTTTAGGACTGCAGAAGTATTTACAATTTTGAAAAAGGCCAATATCTTCTGATACAATAATCCTTGCATTTGATACAGTGCCTTCCAGTGCCAAAACATCTCAAAGCGCATCACAGAATTTTTATTCTAACGTATAATGACAGTTTATTTTGCAGGCAAACAGGCAACCAATTTGGACAAGGCAATGCTTCCCAAAACAGCCATGAATAACTAATCATACCATCAGCCAAGATATTGGGAGAAAATCCCTCTCTTTTCAAATATCGCCATGTCATCCTCACTCCTTATCTCCCAGCTCCACTTTCTTGCCCCACACATCACTGACATCATCAACCTGTCCCTCTCCTCTGGCTCTGTCCCCATTCCATTAAAAACTGCCATCATCACGCCCACCCTGAAAAAACCCTCCCTTGATGCGTCGCAGCTATCAAGCTACCGGCCCATCTCCAACCTCCCCTTTCTCTCCAAGGTCTTGGAAAGAGTTGTCGCCTCCCAACTGCGCTCTTTCCTTTCCACCCATTCTCTTTTTGAACCCCTTCAGTCAGGTTTCCGTGCTGCCCATAGCACAGAAACTGCCCTGGTCAAGGTCACCAATGATATCCTGACCATCTGTGACCAGGGCTCCCTCTGTCTCCTCGTCCTCCTCGACCTATCGGCAGCATTCGATACGGTCGACCACGCTATCCTACTCCACCGCTTGTCCTCCCACCTCAACCTTCAAGGCACTGTCCTTGAATGGTTTAGGTCGTACCTTTCTCACCGTCTTCACTTTGTCTCAACGAATGGCTTCTCCTCCACCCCCCGTACTGTCTCATGTGGTGTCCCTCAGGGCTCTGTCCTCGGTCCCCTCCTCTTCACCCTCTATATGCTCCCCCTCGGTGACATCATCCGCAGACATGGAGTTAACTTCCACATGTATGCGGATGACACCCAACTCTACCTTTCCTCCTCTACTCTCAACTCCACGACCACCGATGTCCTGACAGCCTGCCTGTCCGACATCGAGTCCTGGACGAGAGACAACTTTCTTCAGCTCAACGTGCGAAAAACCGAGGCCCTCCTGATTGGCTCACGTCAGCGCCTCCGCACCTCAGGCGCTGACACCATCAGCATCCAAGGCTGCACTCTCCACCTCTCAAAGCCAGTCAGGAACCTCGGCGTTTTGTTCGACCCTGAGCTGTCCTTTCTCCCTCACATCCGCACCACAACTGGCACCGCCTTCCATCACCTTCGGAACATCGCCAGACTACGGCACTACCTCACCCCTCACGCTGCTGAAACCCTGGTCCACGCCTTTGTCACCTCAAGGCTGGACTATGGGAACTCTCTCCTCGCCGGCCTTCCCGCCACCTCCCTCCACAAGCTGCAGGTCATTCAGAACTCTGCAGCTCGTGTACTGTCCCGCACCAGGCTTCGGGACCACATCACTCCCACCCTCGCTCGCCTCCACTGGCTCCCCATCCCCCAGAGGATTGATTTCAAGATCCTCATCCTCACCTACAAGGCCATTCACGGCCTTGCTCCCTCCTACCTCTCCAACCTACTATCCCCCTACCTACCTGCCCGTACCCTCCGTTCCTCTGGCTCTGGTCTGCTCCACGTCCCCCGCCCCAACCGCCCTACCATCGGTGGTCGGGCCTTCAGCCTCTCAGCCCCCAGGCTCTGGAACTCCATCCCCCAGTGCCTTCGCCTTGCTTCCTCCCTTTCCTCCTTCAAGGCCGGTCTCAAAACCTTTCTCTTTGACCGTGCCTTCAGCTCCCCTCTCGACTCTCTCCCCCTCCTCGCTCCCTCCCTTCCCTCCCCCCCCCCCCCCCCCCCCCCCCCTCACCCTGACCTCCCCCTCCTCGCTCCCTCCCTTCCCTCCCCTCACCCTGACCATTTCCCCCCTCCTCGCTCCCTCCCTTCCCCTCACCCTGACCATTTCCCCCCTGCTCGGGTCATGACCCAACTGTGCAGCGCCTTGGGACGTCCTCCTGACGTGAAAGGCGCTTTATAAATGGAATCTTGTTGTTGTTGTCTGAAGGATGGCACCTCTGAAAAATTTGCACACCCAGCAGTGCGCTGGAGAGTCTTGACTACGAGTTCAAAGTCCCAGCGTGTGCTTGAACCCACAAACTTCTGACTTAGATGTGAGAATGTTACCAACTGAGCCAGGCTGACAAATGTCTGCTCTATGTCAGGTAAGATTTAGGAACATTTCCTACTTTCTCCCAAACTATTACACCAAGGTAAAGTGATGAAGCACAATATTGACTATTAGGTAGAAAACAGTTGATACTCAGAATCAACTGCAGTAGCCGGCAGTGAGAGAGAGAGAGAGAGAGAGAGAGAGAGAGAGAGTGGAAGATAGAGACTTTAAAGACCAAAATCTGAAAATACGGTCACTATAGTAAATCTTGTGAAGCGCTTTGAAACATCCTCTCGACATGAATGCTTCCATATCAAATGCAAGATTTATTATTCATTGCCTGGAAATCACTGCTCTTATTTATTTATGGGTGGTGTGGAAAGTTGTTTCAGTCTTATAACTGTTTTGTTTGTCAGCAACAGATGTCATTGAGCTAAGATGCTCCTTGAGGTTACTACATGCTGAGATCTTCACTGAAAATAGCTGACCAATAATTTTCAATTACGAAAAAAATACAAAGAATGAGTGTATCCTCAGGATAATTATACATGATTGGGACTGAGAAGGAAAGGACCCAAGACTTCCTGCTTACGATTGCCATCCAGCTACCCCTAACTACTGGAAAATGGAGGCTCCATTAAACAAGAACAGGAATATGTTCAGCAGTGATGTCCCACATTTCAACCACTCAATGTCCAGACTCATACATAAAGTATGGTCAGTTATGTAAAGAGCCAGAGAGACTGGCAGTACTGTGAAACTGTGCCAAAGCTCAAGTGACAGCCTTCAGTAAAAAGAAAGGAGGTTAACAACTGGGGGAGAAAAAAAGCTCCTTCTACAGATGTGTAATAGTGGACTATACCAGTCATATATTGCCACACAGTCCCTTCAGAAAACAAACCTTATAATGTATAATCATTTATATATCCATGGCAACAGCATGATTGGATAGACTGTACACTTAGGAAATATTTTCTGGAGAAGGTTTATTTTTTTTGCAAAAATGAATAAATAAGTTTATACAGTTCTCAAAACAGCTAACAACTTGGAGCAAAGTTTAAATTCTAGACTTAAACACCTACAACTTGGAAAATGAACAATGTTACATTCAGTTCAAGTAGTTGCAATGAGTTGGAACGGTTTTAGGAGTCAAAGGTAAATGGGTTCAGTCTGGAGAGAATAACAATCCTTACATTTGATATAGTGCCTTATCACGTTGTTGAGACATCGCAAAGCACTTCACAGAATATACTGTAAAGTGAATGTTTTTGGGTGCGAAATGCAACAGCCAATTGAGCACTGCAGTGTCCCACAATCGTAGATTAAGTGGCCACTTTTTTAGAGGGGGGGGAAGGGATTATTACCCCCGGAAAGCAATCTGACAATCAACTAGAGACGTGTGGAGGAAGGAAACTTGCCTAATGCTTCACCCATCCAGGAATCAGATCCCGGTCCTCTTGTTTGTGAGGCGAAAGTCCTAATCACTACACTACAGGAATCCAGATCATGTTTTCTGGAGAGAAGATTTCTTTTTTTTTGGCAAAAATAATCAATAAAATTTATACAGTTCTCAAAACAACTAACAATTTGGAGCAAAGTTTAAATTCTAGACCTAAACTCCTACAACTTGTTGAACATTCTTAAGTTTCAGAAAAGATCAGCTTTGATAGGACATCGCAAACCAAACTCGATAAATTTCCTAGTTCAGAATACATCTAATTTGACCAAGTAAAGCCTTCATCTGCAATAACCCACATCAAATTGTGAAATGCTTATTAGAAATTGCTACAATGGAAAGAGAATTAAATGGCCAAAAGCAGCCTTGCATTGTTTAAAGATTATTTGGTATGTTAATCTGAATGGGTTTGTCACAAAAGGAGCAAGAGACGAGACACACCACAGATGTGTTCATATTGAGAACATTCACATGCAACCCCCATTTCAAACAGCTGTTATGACAGTGATTTTACTGCTCTGCAAACAATTTTTCACAACACTGCACTTGAAACTGAATTGCTGACTGCGCAACTTTACACAATGCAAACTTTAACAAGATGCCTTTTCCCTCTCTCCCAATATTGTTCAGAGATAATGCATCACATCAATCAGATCAATGACCTTTCATAAAACTAATGCAGCACAACACAAATCTGTTATT